TGCCGATCTATCTCTATCTCAATCAGATGATTTATTATAATTAATAAAACATTAATTATAACAAGATCGATAACTGGTGAATCAACAAAAAAACAGTAAAGAAATCTTACTAATCTTAGCTGATTCGATAACTGGTGATATTGTATTAAACAACAAGTTATTTACCACAAGATCAATAACTTTGATCTATATTATGATTCGTAAGAAATCAATCAACTGATGCAGCCTTACAATATATGATACAGATCGATAATTAACTTATATTATGGCTCATAAAAGATCAATCAGATGATGCAGTTTTACAAACACAATACAAGTCGTGACGGTACTCACAAGCAAGCTAGAGGTCGATCAGTCAATGCAGCCCTGTTTGCTAAAAAACTCATCGAGATCTACAATTTTCCTACTCCTAATGCGATAGCGAAAGCCGAAAAGATTATATTGATTGAATGTTCGTGTATTTTTTTTACAATAAGCAGGGTCTAATATTTATACCCAGAACCTAAACATGAATCCTACTCATTACAATTCGGAATAAAAGAAAACTTCTTAACTTAATAATAATTTGGACCCTAATTTTTCTTATTCGTAGAGTCCGACACATCTCTCTGACGCCACTCAAGTATAGCCCATTGACGCCGTCTGCTGACGTCATCAATAAAATAGCCGATTCTGACATTACATCTAAATCAGCTGATACCTATTCTCATCCAATCGATTCCTTGATGACACAATCCTGGAAGCTTCGAGTTCCCGCGTTCTTCTTCCCAAATGTTGGTGTAAACAAGTCGCTTTGACTTTTTTGATTTATCCATTTTGTTATGTATCTAGACTTAATATTATATCTAGATGCATAGCAAAATGGATGTACCAAAAAAGTTAAAGCGACTTATAATTTGGAACGGATGGAGTAGTATACATCAAATTGTTGACAGTCTGGCCCACTTACGCTGACACAATTTTGATCTCATTGTGGATACCGGTGATTTTCAAAGAAATAAAACGATACAAACCCTGTTTCTAAATCTATGGTGTTTCATGTATTTTAAAACGGGACGGGGAATTCTAAACACTAGTCATATCGTTGCTCAACACGCCTTACTGCTCACACAATGTGCTAATCCCTTTGCTGATTGGCTCATCACTGGGGTACTGGACAGCCACGGTCCTAGATTATTAGCACGCTGTTCGCATGGTCACCGAAAAGACGAGAGCAAACAGCATCCGAATCAGGTTGACGACGATATCATGGGTATAAACTAATTCACCCTTGATGAATACAAAAAAAATTGCTGGAGCAAATGGCTTGAGGAAGGGATAACATGGGGCCAAAGGCCAAGTGGCATATTCTCCCGGGCCATATACGCCGTGTTTAGTTGGTGCCCAACTTTCAAAAAGTTGCTACAGTACCTGTCACATCGAATGTTTGCGGCCCGTGCATGGAGTATTAAATGTAGACGAAAAGAAAAACTAATTACACAGTTTGGTGGGAAATTGCGAGACGAACGTTTTAAGCCTAATTAGTCAATGTTTGGACACTATTTGCCAAATAAAAACGAAGGTGCTACAGTAACCCCAAAATCCAAATTTTGCGAACTAAACAAGGGCATATAGAACCTAACCGATGAGATCAAAGCCTAGGATGACAGCTGACAAAAACAATGTTATCTTGAGCTCTTCGGCGATTGACGTTACTGACTGGAGAAGTGTCACATCACATGTCCGTTGTTTAGGCTCATCATGCGAATAGAATTTTGTCGGGGTCGTGCTTCTTTTCCAGGAGTAGTAAATCTCACGTTTCTTCCTCTGATGAACCAAAACCTCGTCTGAAAGCTGAATTTCGTGGACCTATCGGGCATTCAGAAGCTTCCAGTGACAGAGATGACCATGGACACTTGAAATTTACACCTCCAAGACTGATTTCATCGTCAAGACACCCAGTAGTTGTTACTCTCACCGGCAGTGCAGCCCACTGGCTATCTTGCACGTCCCACTCCCTTTTTCCACAGGGGGTAATAATTAAAACAATGTTTGATCAGTTAAAGCTCCATCCGGCTGACCTTTTGCAGAGCATAATGCGATTTATTATTATCTCACGTACATATATTGATAGCGTGAAGCTCTACGAAGGGACTGGACGCAACAAGCTGTCACTAAACTAATGGCAGCCACATTACTGAGTTTATGCAGACGATGTCCACCTAACTGATAAATGGTACTATATCTGTCCAAACAGATTAATATTTTAGTTTTGTTCTATAAATTAAACTACCTTAGGTTTGATCATGTTTTTTTTATAAAAAAAAATAATCACTAACTAGTGTCATAAATGTTAACAAACAAATTTGATCAAACTTGAAATAGTTTAACTGAGAACAAATTAGAGGCGAACCAATCATCCTATGTCCACTGTCTCGATCGAGGTATGGAGGTCAGAATAAATAGAATAATAATAAATGGAAAAAAGAGAAATTTCTTTAACTGGATAAGGGGCGGATGTAGCCAGGTGGATCTAAGGCAGTGGATTGTGAATCCACCATGCGCGGGTTCAATTCCCGTCATTTGCCCATCGCATTATTGCAATTTCTAAAAATGCAATTTTCCATATCAGTTGTTGGGTTCCTTGTGGTGTAACCTGTCCACCCGGGTTAAGTCATCGACTTAGCATGTGTGCACGGGCTATGCTTTCAGTGGTAAGCGACGTCCCCGTCAACAGCGAGACGCCTGTGGTGACTTCATGAATCTCGAGATCTGCCTGCTCAGTCCTTTGAAGGTGCTCATAGGGATAGAATTTGCGTACATAAGTTCATAGGGGTGAGTGTACGTGTGTGTTATAGGCATATACGTTATACTCTGTAATTCTAAAAAAAGAGAGAACAAATTAGAGTATCAAGTTTCTCTAGAAGAGAGGTAGGGAGAAATAAACCTTTCTTCTAACAAGTTTTTGTGCACTTGCTTCTGAAAATAACCCTCCGTTTTAAATTGTGAGTCATTTCAATTCTTCTTAAGTCAAACTTATCTAATTTTGACAAGTTTATCATAAATTATATTAGCATATATAACATCAAATAAATGTACTATCAAAATATATATCTAACGGTGTATCTAATGAATCTTGTTTCATGTAGTAGATGTTTGTGCATTTTTTGTAAACTTAGTCAAAACTACATAAGTTTGACTTAGAACCAAGCTAAAACGACTTACAATTTCGAATGTGAGAGTAAATAAATAACATATAAAGATCATGTGTCAACAAAGACCAAACACCATTTATGCAACTTCATTGAATATAATTTTTTCAGAAGCTTCTAAAGATATTTTTATAAGCTCTAAATATATTATTTAGGTTCTTGTGTCTCCTATCTCTGAGACTTTTCTCAGAATTTTTAGAAGTTTGAAGATATTTTTGTGACCGCCTCACCATTACATATAGACAATGACTTAACGTCCTTCATGTGACCTCTTTTAGATTTCTTAACTTATAAATGGCGAGTTATAATGTACTCCATGGGTTTATCAAATTTGAAAAATCATAACTTTTCATAGGGAAGATAAATATATAGTTTATAAAAAAGTAAAACCCTACTGAGACCCACAGCTCTGTAGTTCAACGTTTTTCTATTTGAGGTCATTTGAATACCAAAATAATTTGTAGAATGTGTAGATCTACGATAGACTTGCTCCAAAACATACAGTTGTATGCCAGATATGCCATGTATCTCATAGTAACTCAGCAATGTCCAACTCCTTTGTATTACCTGTCAGTCATGCTAGACAAGGAAACACATTTAAAGGGCCTCCGTACTCGTGTCAAGCACTACTGCACTCTCCTTTCAAGATGCAGTCTTGTTGTCAAGATAGGGCAAATTCAGCTTGTCGATGCTGTTTTGTAAGTTTTTTCTATGTATAAATAAAAGACATATTACAAGCCCGAGAGCTTTCATGGAAAAGAACTTTCATCTAGAGGAGCGATTCTTCACACTTTTTTCTTAACACAAGCGGATCCACAAGTATGGCAGTCAAATGTTTTTGTTTCTTGCTCAATCCTGCAACTATCTTCTCGCCAGGCCTGCTGGGATCACTAATATTTCTATTTTTTATAGTTGCACCCTATGTTCACTTTCTTAAGAGGTCCCTGTTCTTGTGAACTGTAAACTGGATGGCAGTTGAGAATATTATACGCCATGCGCAAAAATTTTATCTGAAGTGGCCATGGGATTCTGTTGAACTGGTGCGTGACGATAGTATGACAGTTTGCCTCACTGCAATTTCAGAGGATTTGAAATTGCCGTAGCTTTTGTTATGCTGACACTTGTTAATCATGTGTCTAGCGTCTAGCCCTGATACTTGTCCTATCCTAGCTGGTCAAGCTAGTTGAACCAAAAGCAATAGTTGACCTTAGCTACTCCTAGCTCCATCCGGCTGACTTCTTTCCAGTACTTTATTATCCACCAAGCAGTGTCTCTAGTACACTGGTAGTCGCACACAATACAGAACTTCTGCAGCCAAAAGCACCAATCTCCACCTAACATATCAAAGATCATGCGTATTGGCAGAACCAAACACCATATATGCCACGCCAAAAAAAACATATCTGCAATTTCAAGAATAACTGCATGTAGTTGCGCGATGGCAAAAGAGCAGTACATTTTTTGTGCAAAAACGCACACACAAAAAAAGCAGTTAAAAGCGATTTTTCAGCGAATCATTCTCTCCTTTCCACCTGTTACATTTTCATTCTATTACACCAAACCAGGCTGACTACTACAAAGACAGCACGTAATATCAGTTGACACTATTGGGCTTCAGGTCCACAAAATTTGGCAAGAAAATGATATCCAAGAATGTGTCAGAAAAAATACAGTGAATCTTATGTATCCGAAACTATGTTCCTTCCTATCTATGGTAAACACAACATGCTAAGTGCTGCGGTACATGTCTATGATGTTTGCAGCGCAGAATGTATCACGTGATGGCGAAGTAGCCAGCAATTTCTATCCTCAGGTTCTCTCTCTATCAAACTCTCTTCGTATGGTCTCTAGCAACATCTCATTCCATGTGTCTACTGGTCCTGGCATGCACCAATGCAAACAATCCTGAGGTGGAGGTTTTCCATCTGGCCCTCTCTGTGTCTTCTTGTTAGGGTCAGGACTTCTATACGGGCCAGGATGACCATCAGCCCTGAAGGCAAAGGGTTCAGTGATATCCATCAATTTCAACCTGGAACCGTGTTCCCCCGCATTCTTCACTGCCTTCCTGAAGCCTGTAACCTGCTTTTCATGCATCGCATCGGTAAAGCCATTCCTCACCACTTCATCCAGGGGCTTGACCTTTCCAGTTTATGATCCACCAGTGTTCCATGCTCCACCTTCATAATGATCAGGTGACCATGTTCGCACAATAGCTAGGCCTGTGAAATTTGGGTTAGTCGCCACAGCAGTTAGGCAAGTCTCGACAGAGATACCAAAAGCATCCACATTGTTGACCTGCATTTTTCCTGCTTTACGAGGCCACCAAAGCTGCCCTCCAACAACATTCCCATTCAGGATATAGGCTGATCGTTTGGCAAACCAGTGGCCAGAGGAAAGGACAAGTACATCAAACCTTGGGAGGAATTCCATGAAGGTCTCATCAGGAATATCCAGAAAAACCTTATCAATACCCTTAGGAGCAATCCCCACAGCTTCAGTTGACCTGTGCACTAACCAAGAAGACCAGACACGGGCGATAGTTGTTTTAGTTGACTTGAAGAGCCACTTATGCATCCTTTTGTTGCCTCGGTTTTGTGGGACATCTACCTGTAAAAAGGAGAACACCAAATGCTTTAAGACAATGAAGCGGATATATGTTGCCTGAGAACAAATGCTACAAATACATTGAATGTAGAAACACAGAACTGTTTAAAGTTGCCCTTCATATTACATTTACTGTATTCTAGGAATAAAAGCTTGTTAAGAAGTGTTCAGTAGAGATTAATGTCAAACATGGTGAGAAAAGGAAAGCTACTAATCTTAGTATAAGTCTTCGGAACTCCTATAAGAGCTTCTGAAATAGGAGGAGCCTTATACCCTGATGAAATACACACTTTTAAGCAAATCTAACTCACAGAGCCTCCTACCTGTAACCCTGTAAGGGTATGGATGGAAGGATCCAGTTATTTTCCATTCTTTTTCTTATCAGTAATAGTTATTTTTTTTCGAGAAAAGGTCTCCAATGAAAAAAAAAACGATGATGTTTGACCTAGGGTACATCATCATCTGTAAAAATGCCTAGGAATTTGTTTGTATTCACATACCAATTGTATGACAGGGTATAAGTTAGTAAACTAGTCACATAAAGTATTCAGAAGGTCACGGTTTTATCATAATTACACTATAATGCAAATGTAAGATTCTGAACAGTAGCAGGAGGTATCTCACCTGCCACAGAATGCAAAGGAGGGACTCCATCTGGTTTCGAGCAACTGAATCCCCGACAAACGCAAGTGTCTTTCCTCTCATCAACTCCAAGAACTTCCTTGCATCAAAGCGCGGGAGGTTACACTGCTCTGGTTTCCATCTCCAATTCTCATAGTCCTTATCCGGTCGCCCATTTCCTTGGCAATTTTGCATCTGTGTGATGATAGGGCAAGAGTTGTTTGTGTAAAGTGGCCCAGAAGAATCAGTAACCCACTCTCCACGATATAGATCGCAAGTATCTGCACAGTCAGAAAACAAAGATCAATTCCAGCTATCCCAGATACTCTGATACGATGATGAATCTAATAAAATCACTACAGTACAATGACAAATGACATCCCAATCCATTCATGTTGGTAAATATGCTGTGCAGAAATCTCTGGGGAACGAACTAACAGTTCACCTTGCTCAGCCTTTTGAGATTCGTTAGATGTATCTTCGTCAGGAGTCGCTGTGGGATCACTAGAAGCAACTGGATCCGGCTCGTTGTCATCAATCTTTCCTGTAACTGCAGAAGTTTGGCTTGAATTCACGTCACCACCCTGACCATTCTGCTCCACTAAGGGTTCCCGTCCGCCCTGCGACAATTCTTCCCCAATTGCAGCGCCACTGCTGTTTCCATCAGCACGCTCCGACGACGAACGCTTCCCCAGGCCGGTAACTCCGGCGGGGAGGTAGTCGTGCAGCGACGTCCGAGGCAGGGACGAGCCCTGGGACAGCGATATCACCACGAGGGTCAGCACCAGCGCCAGCACCGACACGACGACGGTGACGAGCCACCGCCGGACTCCGGAGACCCCCGCCGGGGCCTTCCTCCCCGGCAAGCTCATGGGCCCCGAGATCAACCCTCCCGTCCGTGCGGCATCTGCGGCTACGCGGGGCGAAATTCAGGTCCAGGAAAGGGAAACGATAGCGACGGTGGACCGTGGACAAGTAGACGAGGTGGCGTACCAGCGTGGAATTTTGTGCGGGCGGCGCGGGGATCGGACCCGGGCGCGGAAGTGGCCAAGCGGAAGCGGCGTTGCTATGCTCAACGAGTCACCGCGGTCGGAGCTGGAGGAGGAAGCGATGGGGGGAAGGGGAACTCCGAACTCCTGGGGTTGGAAGGGCAAGGTGATTAATTGCTGATCAAGTGATCATGCGGCTTGTCCAAGTTAAAGGGTACAAGTTTCCAGTGGTTAAATAAATGTGGTTAAAATAGATTCACCGGGAAAAAGCACCGGCGACCTGTCTTTTCGTCATCCCTCCGGTAGATAGATTCACCGCAAAACTAAGTGCATGTTTGGAAATATTTTTTTTAGAAACAGGTGGGACCGAGGTCCCTACCGGGAATTTATTAAAACAAACAAAGGGTAACTGAGACAGTTACAAGAAAGAAAAGCAAAGAAAGCGAAGAGATTTCGAAATATTTATTAAAATACAAAAAGATTGAATAATTTTACTTTCTAATCATTTTGTATTTCTTTCTGTTAAAATAAGAGAGCTTCGTTGTTTCGTAACTGATTGATTGAATTCCAAAGAAAACCTATATTTATAGAAAATTCCTGAATATTTCGTGGGGCTAAAGTTTAGCCCACTCCTTTCAGTCACTTTTAGCTTTCCATTGATCCAAACAGAATGGCTAAAACTAGGGGCTAAACTTTAATCCTCCCCTTTTCCATTAGCTAAAAAGGACTGAAAGTGGTCCTAAAACCAAAAGACACATATTACCCCCACTCAGCCAACGCTTAAATCTTGGACTATACTATGAATTATTTTAAGATTCATGGATTCTAAATTTAAACATGAATTACATTGTGTCATTGACCCACTCATCACATTGCATTTAGACTAGCTGTATCTAGGCTGATTGGTTGATGAACGTGATTGGTTGTCAAAACTTAGGAAAGTCAAATATTTTGCTGTTATTGGGTTTGCTGCCAAAACTCATATCTTTATTGCCAAATCTGTGGTAATTCCAACTTTTACTTATCATCATCCAAATATTTGGCATGGTAGCAACAGGCAGACCCTTTTGTCTTCTCTTGTGGCCTTTATGATCACCTTGATAACAACTGGACTAAGTCACAATAAACATCTTTTTCCTTTAAAAAAACAAAAGTCGCAATTGACAGCCACGTCGTCGTATGCTACTAGGAAAATAATTAGATGTCCGAGTGAGGAAACATAACAAATCGAGCCATGATCCAAATTTCTTCTTTTTTCTATGAACACGAAATCATTACGTAATAGAAGTCTCAACTTCGGGACTATAATCATTTTGCCAAAAAGTAAAGATGCGACCAAAATTCAACAATACAGATCTATATGTTTGCTTACCAATAGAATCATAAAAATTGCTTACCAACATAATCATAAAAATTGCAGATAAAATTTCTTACCAGCTGAATTATTTTATCTGCAAAAAGTAAAGATGCGAGCAAAATTTAGCAATAAAGATCCAAACCAAGAAAGGCCTCAGGCAAGAAGACCCTTTATCTCCAATCATGTTCAACATAGTGGCAGACATATTGGCAATTATTTTAAATAGGGTCAAGCAGGAGGGTCTTATTAGGGGAATAATCCCACATCTAATAGATGATGGACTGTCAATCTTACAGTATGCTGATGATATAGTTATTTTTTTAGATCATGACATCGACTTAGCAAAGAATATGAAATTCTTACTTTGTGGCTTTGAACAACTGTCTGTCTAAAAATTAACTATCACAAAAGTAACATCTTCTGTTTTGGGCAGACAGAGAGTGTGAGGAACAATACTCGCAACTCTTGGTTGCAAACTAGGACAACTCCTCTTTAAGTACTTAGGCATCCCAATGCATGTTAGATGACTATCGAATAAAGAGTGGAAAGTGATAGAAGATAGAATCGAGAAAAAAATAAGCAGCTGAAAGGGTAAATTATTGTCAGCAGAAGGGCGTTTAGTCCTGATAAATTCTGTTTTATCCAGTTTATTGATGTTTATGATGTCTTTTTTTAAGATCCCTAGGAGTGTTATAAAATACTTCATATCTAGATTTTTTTGACAATATGATCAGGAAAAAAAGAAGTATAGGTTAGTCAAATGGCCTATTCTCTGTCAGCCAAAAGAACAAGGTGGAATGAGAATTATGAATTTAGAGCTACAAAATAGGTGTCTGCCGAGTAAATGGTTGTTTAAGTTATGTAACGAAGATGGCATGTGGCAGAATTTGATTAAAAACAAATACCTAAAAATTAAAACGTTGAGCCGAAAAGAAAGCAGGGGTTTCCTATTTTTTTGCTAGCCTTATGGGTGTCAAAGATTAGTTCAGAAACCTGGGTTGGTTTAGATTAAATAATGGAACTCACATCAGGTTTTGGGAAGACAAGTGGTTGGGACACCATGTAAGTGCATCTAGTCTTTTAGTGGGGTTTGGTGAATTGAATGACAACACCATTAAAGATCTAACAAGTTTGCTAAGTGTTGAACAGCTAGTCCCCGAGCACCTTGTATCCGCTGAGTAACACCGTCTTGAGCTTGTCCGAGCAGCTGAACATGTAGCTGGTCAACAGGAGCAGGCGTCCGACCAATTTAACTGGGAGCCGAGCTATTGAATCAAGCATCCGACCAGTTTAACTGGAAGCCGAGTTGTTGAATCAAGCATCCGACCAGTTAAACTGGTAGCCGAGCTATTGAATCGAGCATCCAACCAGTTGAACTGGTAGCCGAGCTATTGAATCGAGCATCCGACCAGTTGAATTGGGAACCGAGTTGTTGAATCGAGCGTCCGACCAGTTTAACTGGGAGTAAAATTGATTTTATTGCATACACTTGTGGATTATAAAATGAGAAGTGTATATAGATTCAACAAGAAGGCAAACTTGATGATATTCCACATAATGTTCAAATCAAGGTCAAAATTGTATATTGTTGTGTTGTAAGATCATGAAAATAATATAGTTCAAGAGAAAGACAACAATGCAAATGGAGTTGATGAAATGGCTTCTACGTTGACAAATATCATAGTATCATGGGAAAGCAAACATATTTGGCAAATGTTAAAAGAGACATGAGTTGATAATTTTGGATTGGTCTCAATAATGGCTTGCTTTGCATGAACAAGAAGAGTTTGATAGTGGATTAGTTTTGATCAAGGATTGAAGGATGAGTCAAGAATGCATAAGTGAAGAAATAATAAGCAAATGTTTAAATGACAAAGGACACAACTCATATTGGATATAAGTCGGTCTCTGTGTTGATTTGGTTGTATGGATAAAGATTTGGAAAATCACTTTGCATTGCCTTGATCAAGCTAGAAGTATGAAGATAGATATTGAAGTGAGTATTAGGAGTGTTAAGCAAGATGAAAAGGATATAAGAAATCATGAATTGGCTTGACCATATTGATGTTGATTTATATATGTCTTTATGTGAATCAAACTAAAGTTTGATTGATCTCAACATTCATATCTAGAAAATATTCAAGCAAGGATCATACTATTGAAGAAATGGTTTTTCAATGAATGCTTAATATGATGTGACTTGTGTATGGCTTGATAAGGTGAAGATAGCAAGGAAAGGGCTTTGAGGGACTAAGCGAAGGTGAAGGGCAAGCGATGGCTTGAGGATCGAGGTACCATGGCTAAGGTGAAGAAGAGAGTACTTGCATTAAGTCGAGGAACTAATCAAGCTATAAGGAGTCATATTATGTTGAGGATTAAATCATTAGTAGAAGCGACTTGAAGCTATGAGGTGAACTCATATGTATGGAAATAGTTCAAGTTACATGCTCAAGATATGTTTGCTACAAGAAATGAGACAAAGATGTTTGCAAAGCCTTTATGAAGTGATATTGAGAAAGAGGATAATACATGAGATGGTGAAAACCCCCAATTATAAAAGGATGCGGTGACCAACTCAAAGGTGTTTAAATTCTTTAATGTTTTGAATTTGAGTTTAGAAAAAGTCATACTATAACGGGGGATACAATGCACAAGCTTTAATGTGCAACCAAGTGCTTATTTACCCACCAAATATCCTTAAAGCCTCAGCCAAGACAGCAAGCTTTGCAATCCTATCTTTTGTGCTGCATGGCAGGTGAGGCACTACCACTTCCTCTTCCTCTTCCTCCCCAACGGCTCTCTAGAACCTCCTGCTCATTCTAGCTCGTTAAAAATAAAAAAGAGCTGCTCTCTCTCTTCCTCCCTCACCATTGGAGACCCTCAACCTTCTCCCTTTGATTCTCTTCCAAATCCAAGAGAGTTTGAGCCTCCAAATTGCATTAGAGAGCAGCCCCAACTGCTCTTCATCTCTTAGAGCACTTGATTCGCGTTCAAGCCGGTGGATTGTGTTTGTTACTCTTGGAGCTTGCTCCTATCTAGCAAGAGCGTTGCCCGTGGAGCTTGCCAACTTGTGTGGCAGCCCCGGGAGATTTGTAATCACCCCAATCAGTTTGTGAAATCACCCCTCATCTCAAGAGTTCATTATCTTGACTTGAGAACGATGATAAGGTTGAAAGAAACCAAAGCCTTTGTGGCTACCTCAACAATGTGGACATAGGTAAGCCTTAGTGGCGAGCTGAACCACGGGATAAATCGGTGTGTCACTTGTGTTCTTGCGATTTGCATTACTATACTTGTTGTTGGTGTTTTGGACCGAGGGGTCCTCAACCAACTAGTGAATGTGTACTACGTGTTCCTAATCCCGGATGGTGATGCAAAGAGACATAAGGTTTATACTGATTCGGGCAATAGGTGCCCTACGTCTAGTCTGAGAGAGCGATCTTGTATTCCTTGCACCGAGGTGCTTGTTGTAGGGGCTTACAAGCTGAGCGAGAGAGGGAGCTAGTCCTAGGTCTCTGCGTGGAGT